TGCACATATATCTATTTCTCCATCATCATATATAAAGATATTTTCATATGTACATGCCTGTATTTAGACCGCTATAAATGCCCTTTGCCTCCTAGTTCATTCCTCTATTTCCTTTGGCTTTCCTCTTGTCCCCTTATCATGCTCAACCTTCATTTGAGTTTCAGTGATTCCTCTTGGTTACATTGCCCTTGATCAAGCCCTACCAGGTCTCCTGCACCCCCCTCGCCATCGATTTTGGATCACTTGTTGTTCCCTTGTCCCTGGGTTTGTTAACACCCACTTCCTTTCCCCTGCCTCCCCTTCTTCCATGTCCCCCCAGAACTGTCTGTCCTGTTGTTTTCTCATCCAGATTGTTTGTCCTGCCTATCTTATCTAGATAGATCTGCAGAGATAATAATATGCACAAAAAAACAAGACAGAGCAAAACAAAGCAACAAAAGAAAACGTCAAAACAAAAGCAGCAAAAAAAACCAATGACACACACACAAAAAAAGCCCATAGTTAGTTCAAGGACTGTTTGTTGACCTTTAGCAGTGTTTTCCAGTCAAGTCTGAATGGGTGCCATGCCCTGGCCCCAAAGTCTTTTTTTGGTATTCCCTGGGGACTTCCTTGCTCTGCTCCCATTGCTATTGTGTTGCACGACCTTAGTGTTTTTCCTCGGTGTGGTGGGGTCAGATTGGGTGCAATTCCCGCACTGTGTCCTCAGTAGGGCTATGCAGGTTGATGAGGGATGTCGTATCTCGTAGTGGAGCTGGCCCTATGGTCCTCTCTGTGCATTGGCTACTCTGAGCAGGGATATAGTCCTCAAGGCTTGGTGGGCCAGAGAGTAGAGCAATTTCTCTCTTCTCATCAAGCGACTTCACTTTATTTTCATACATGGCACCTACAGATAGAAACTCTAATAGGAAAGTCCCCTGTGATTCTGGGTATCAACTCAAACATCTATTTATAACATATCTATGTTTCTTATATCTATTTATAACAAACAGTTCTATCTCTCTCAATTCCTTCAAAACCAAGTAGATTGTGTGCACTGTCATTTCTTCACAGCCCCTCAGCCATTCCTAGTTTAATTTAATTTCCACTCCCCTCAGGCAATCAAAATAACTCTCAAACTCACGCCATTGTGTTGATTCTGACTCATAGCAACCCTATAGGACAGGGTACAATTGCACTTTTGGGTTTCTGGGGATTTCAGTCTTTACAGGAATAGACAGTCTTATCTTCCTCCTGTGGAGTAGCTGGTGGATTTGAACCTCAGACCATATGATTAGTAACAGAGTTCAAGGCGATGCCATCAGGGCTCTTCCCAAATAGCTCTTATTAGTCATCAGTGATCTCCAGTTTGCTAAATGCAATGGAAATATTTCAGTTGCCATC